GCACCTGTATAAGATAAAGCAGCCTCTTATACGGTCGGTCGCTTTACCGAAAGACGACACACACACACACACACACACGCGCATGCACACAAACACGCACACACACAACACAAGTGCACAGGTACACAGTAACGAAAAGAAACAACGCACACACGAAGGTTGCATGCAAGTTCCAGTTCCCATAACATGACATGACATTGTCTTGTGTCTTAGCAAAAAAGCACAAACAAACCTGTTTGCAGAAGGCAAAACACGTACCAGTCCACCACCTTGCACGTGAAACATATACTTCCTTTCTCCACTGCTGATCATGTCCCGTTTAACTGTTCTGACATCCTGAGTTGCAGCAATTTCATCGACTGCATTCACACAGTGCACTGCCCCACCGTCCCGCCTGACAAGCCAATCTCCTCTCTTTCTCCTTCTCGCTATCACTGCTCTTCCTTTCCCAACATCCTCAAAGAACCAGTCCACCTTCCTCTCCGTCCCCAATTTTCCAAAAATAGCCACATCGCCCTTAGAAGCAGAGCATTCCCCTTCCAGTGCTCTGTCACAATCTAACTGGCCAACGCTACTCAGAGAAGGCGACTGTCTTCTGCATCCTCTCTTCAGGCTTCTCTTCCCTGTTCTAGATACATCAATCTTCTTCCCACAGACAGCACGTTCTCCATCATCAGACAACGGTCTCTGTGAGACTGACAAGTGTCGTTCTCGAAATGGACCCCGCCGAGTCAAACTGCAGTTATTCCCTGAGATTCTGCCAGCCATAGCTGCCATCCCGCAATGGAGCACACGATGACGACGTCCACAGCCATAGCCGTGATCACTGGGACACAAAGACCACCGTCTACTTCCAGCAACAACAGCCTTCCCTCCTCGATGAGGATCTCCTACCATTCCCACTTTCACAAGCGGCGAGCACATCTGCCCTTGCAAGGCATGGGCGCTGTACGTGCCCATCTTCTCCATTCCCTGCAGCGAGAAATCCAGCAAATCATTAACATATAGTGTACATCAACATCTTTGTCTGCAGCAAGAAAGCCAACGACTCGTTTACTCAAAGACTGTACTCAAGCCGGTGCTCAAGCTAGTGCTCAAGTCCATCTTCAGGCCCTATCTGTGCTCATCATCCTCATCATCAATCATCAATCATCAATCATCAAAGATCATTATCATCATTACCATCATTATCATCGTCATCATCATCACCACTACGAACACATGGCTACCGTCTTCACCCGAATAGAACGCCCGGTGATTAGAGCTGCATTTGGCCCAACTTTCAGTCCAGATGCAGCGATAATGACCGGGCGTTCTATTCGGGTGAAGACGGTAGTTCGAAACCCGTTAAGATGGACTTAACCATCAAAGCGGTTCAGGTTCGATCTGAACTCAACCCAGCTCAGGTCTGTGATCGGCCATCATTCGTATAGCAGTCTGAATGCTCGTAATTGAATAATTCCAATCATACCATTAATCAATGTCCAAGCACTTCCATCGTGATTGCAGGGTCTACAAGCTCATCCAGTGGCCTGCGGAATATCTCACGGATGTCAAGTGCTGACGAGTAAGTCCTTGCTACAACCGTGCTGGGCTGGGCTGAATGTCACGCCCGCCCGGTATGGCTTCGGTTCTGAGCACCCGGTCCAGTCGTAGAGGTAAAGGCATCTGGCTGTTATGGCCGAGGTCACCAGTTCGATTCCATCCAGCTGCCGATCGATCAAGGCTACACCGACAACAGGCTTACCAACAACGGCAAGAAAAATAGTCCTCCCGAGTTCGTTGACAAATATATCGTCACAAATAGAACTGCCCGGTAAACCGTAGGCAGAGAGAGAGAAGAGGACAACAAACGAGGGGCTGTGACAAACTGTTTCGTCGGAGTTTCACCGACTCATCAGGTATATATATATATCGTCAAATAGAACTGCCCGGTATATATATATATATATATATTGTCACATGATATCAGAGCGCCTAAGCGAAAAAACCAGGAACAAAAAAATCTTAAAAATATATATATATGTCGTCACAAACAGAACTGCCCGGTAAACCGTAGGCAGAGAGAGAGAAGAGGACAACGAGGGGCTGTGACAAACTGTTTCGTCGGAGTTTCACCGACTCATCAGGAGGCTGAACCCTCAACAGTCTGCAGAATCCCCTCACTGATTAC